CAAGCTACTATAAATAAATAAATAAAGAGCTCGAGAGACGCCGAGAAATACTCTCGAGTTCATAATACACGGTGCCCAGACAGTTCTGCGTACATATGTATATATATATATATATGTACACATATAGACATAGCGCGTAACACACTTTTCGCTTAACGATTTTCCAGCTGGTTTGCATATTACGACGGAGGCAGCGATTTCACGCTTATAAAATCGAAAAAGCCCGCACGCTCTCGAGGGACTCTCCCCTCCCATTATCTCAAAATAATCTGCGCGCTGGCATATAAACGCGCGAGAGTGTGCGTGTGTGCGTGTATACATGACCGATCATTTTTACGAGCTGAGAGAAGAAGAGAGTCAAGTGCGTAAAAACGGGGGCGCCTGATGCGCGCAGTTACTGTTGAGCGAGGGGGCCGATTTCCGGGGGGTTAACCGAAAATATGCGTATACCACACCGTGTATACCTATTATATAGCTAGAGTTTGGGCTTCCATTTTATGGAATATCTCCGTGTAGATAAAGTTTTTATTGGCGAGCGTTATGCAGTGGCCGTGTGAAGTTTCCCTCCGACCTGTTTGATGAGAAGGTGTGTAAGAGATTTTTTGAGTACGGCATACATGACTTTTTTTTTTTTTTTTTTTAGTGTATTTATTTCGATAAGACGTCTACTGATGCAGCAAAGCTTCCGTTTTACAGTCAATTAATGTGTTGAACAAAAAAACAAAAAAAATCATAGGGCTAGTTAGAAAACCTCAATTACAAAAACTAATTTTTCTTCCTCTCAAAGGCTGGATCACTTTAACTCGAAGGAAAATTTTAATGGGGAAATTTTTTTTTTCACAGCTCCCGAATAGGCGGGACCGCGCTCGTTCGATAAGCCGCTCTCTGTGGGAAAAAGAAAAAAGCCTTGTTACGAGTATATATTATATTATAGAGTAAATAGTATACAGTTCACGCTTATGTCGGCTAATTTTTTTATTAAGAAAAGATAAATAAATTAGATAAAATTTTCTTTTCGTTTTTTTTTTTTTTTTTTTTTTCATCCCACAAGAGTAAAAAACTCTTGGTCATCTTATCAAGTGATTTTTTTTATTGATGCACTTGTGTGAGCAAAAAAAGCATTGTTCATCGTGTACTTAACTACAAACGCAATTACGAGGAAAATGATAGTGTAATGAGCCGCTCGAGATATATCTAAATTGACTCATCGTTGCATGAGATATCCGTTTTAACGCGAGTGTGGAAAAATAATTAAACTTTTAATCCACACCGAGAGACTATTTACCTTAATTTTATCGCTTCGGTTCACTTAACATTGTACCTTTTTGCATCATACGGATTCCATTTTGCAATCGTTTTTTTTTTTTTTTTTTTTTTTACGAACAAATTCAACGCGGGCCAACGTTTCCGAAAAGTCCTAAATATCGATTTTAATGCCCCGCATTGAGCTGTAAAGTTGATAATGACAACATTAGCCCCTGAAAGGAGCCGGACAATGAGGCCTTATTATAATTTAAAGCCGAGACGAAGGAGGAGGAAAAAAAAAAATAAGGAAATCGATACTCGACGGAGGAAAAAGGAACGGCATAAAAGTCAGCCCGACAAAAAGAAATTCCCAAAAACGTATAATATGACAGGCGCTGGAGGAAAAAAAAAAAAAAAAAAAAAAAAAGAGAAAGGCTCTTCAAAGGCTCGGCCACTGAAAGCTTAACGCGTTTTCAGGGAAAAAAAAGAAAAAAAAAAAAAACACAGTAACCAGAGAAACGTTGACTAAATGACCACGTGTCCCTCTCTCTCTTTTTTTCCTATATATGTACGTACATATATATATATATACACGTACGGGACGCGTTGGCGGGCCTCTAATTCCAGCAATTAAACAGATACTTTGGGGACTGCCCGAGGCGAGGCTTCTTTATGTCATACACACACATGTTGGATATATAAACACGCTTATAATATATACCCTGCAGGTATCGGATAGAGGAATAAAGACGCGTTACTAATCGTCGCCGCTAGATTTGATACAGGCGATAAATCCTCTGTGACGCCGGAACTGTGTTATTGCACCGAATTAAAAACGCGAGCGTGACACTTGGTACAAAAAAAAAAAAAAAGCAAAGACACGCGTAACACAATATTTATTTTGTTTTCATCATGAAACGAAGGGAAGGAAAACCTTTCATCAATCTTTCACGCGCTTTATATGTTACATATACACTTGCAGACCCGCGCGACCTCCAGTCGCATATAGAGGAATAAAAGATGGAGCAGAACAGGTCTCGGTTAGCTAATGTATACGAATCCACGAGTTCGAACGAGCCCTCGGGGATCCATCACGCCGCACCCCCGAGGGCTTTAACCCGCACTGCCGTACAAACGCCTCGCGTATTACATTCTGGTCGAGTTGCTAAACTGCTCTCGCGCCTAATACTCGCCTGTGAATGATTGGGTACATCGATTGGCCTTGGATTACCCCGGGGGGGGGGGGGATGAGTCACGATAAGCACCGGAGACCGATGTGGCCTAGATGTAATGATAAAATGTCTATAGAGATGTATACATAACGAGTGCACGCGTGTAATCATGTGTGTTTTTTCATTTTGTTGGATTTGTACTTTTGATTTTTAATTGGACTTCGATGACGATTGTACTCAAAGTCAATTACGAGAATTGCTCTTTTTTTTCCTCGTTCCTCGCTATCATATACATTGTTGGGCAAGAGACGGTATGTATACCTATACGAAAGAATTTACGAGCGTGTCTCTTTGAAAATTAAAAAAATATTCGCTCCGAAGGACTTTGCCAAGTGCATTACGAGAATTATCGAAAGCATAAAAAAAAGAAGAAACGAATTACTAAAAAATCTGAAATCAAGACGTCACGCGATGGACACGTGGAGTGTATGAATTGTACATACACGCATACGTATATATATATTG